CTTCTGTTTTGCACTGTAACAATAGGAAAGGTAACCGAGGTCCAGACCCCCATCAGTCAAAGGTTCCAACTCCTGAAAATGGAAGTTTATTTGAAAGAACAGAAGGTCAGACTATCAAAGTACATTTCTGTCCCTGTAAATGACTGCCTAAGGAAGTACCCCATACCCTCAGCCTCAGCATAGAAAAGCTGCTGAAACTGTGGTTCAAGAGAGCCAGGCCCCATCCCTAACTGTCCTGAGAACTTGGCAGTATCATCCATGAAACACTGGTTTTGGAAACATGCAAGACACAAAGTTGAGGAGGTGATGGATCTCTTCCCCAAAGGCTGCTGAGCCCAAGCAATGAGCGGCGAGGTCAGAGTTCCTGCAAGGAGGCCCTGAGAGGTCATTGCATGAAGCCCTGAAGGTGAAACTTTCGTTACAGTGGAGACATCAAGATGCTGTAGATGCCAGAATTGTGGGATGCCTGCCAAGGATGAATATATACAGGAAATGGAACCAGTCCATGAGACTGAAGTGTGTGGCAGGCAGCAAAGTGAGAGGGGAGTAGCTATCTAAACACTTTACAATTGGGATGATTTTATCCTGTGTCCCATATGCAGGGTATAGAGTGGCAGGATCTGCTGTTTGCCCTACTAGGTTTCAATTTTGCTTTGATCCAATCTTTCTTTGCTGTGCCTCCATTCCTCTCGTTTGGAATGGGAATATTTACTCTGTGACATTGCATGTTGGAAGTGTTTTTGAGGATTTTAGCACCAGATATATGCAAGGGAGAGCACAGTAAAGAAACTGCCAGCATGATCACTGCATGATATAGTTCTGGGGAAGGTTTTTGTTGTAGATATGAGACAGAGAGGACAACCAGAGGCATATGGAAGAAGCCAGAGAAGAGAGAAGAAGAAGTAGATCAAAATGACCAGCAGACTGGATATGACCAGGGCTATCTGCAAGAGAAGGGGCATAAAAATAGAGAGAGCATAGTGAGATTAACAAGATCAGAGAATATTGTACTCATGGGGGGCTCGAAGAAATCAAGGAACCTGTAGGGATCTGACCTAAGTCCTCTGCATGTGTGTTATGGCAAAGTAGCTTGGTGCTCCTGTGGAGTTCCTAACAGTGGGAATGAGGGTGATCTCTAACTCTTCTGCCTGCTTGTGGGACCCTTTTCCTCCTACTGGGTTGCTCACCCAGCCTTGATGTGATGGTATGCGCCTGGTCTTTGTTATGCTGTGTCTGATGGAAGTCCCTGGGAGGCCTGCTTTTTTTCTGAGGAGAGGCAGAGGGGCTGGTTCTGGGGAGAGAGGAGGCAGGGAAGAGAAACAGGGAGGAGTGGGGCTTATGGAGGAGGGAAACTACAGTTGGGATAAAATATATGAGAGAAGAATGAAAAATGTTTAATATATATACATTACATTCAGGCCACCGGAGGTTCCCACACCCATGTACATATGTGCAACACTAAGTAGACTCAGTGGGTTAAAGAAATAAAAATTATGAAAGGACAATACGAACCTGAGATGGAGATGTGATGGGGAGTGTGGTGGTGGATAGATGAAAGCACACTCCATGTATGTTTGAAATTTCCAAAGAATAAAGGTTCAAGTAAAGAAGCTATATAAAAACATGGCTTTGGAGTGAATTTAGTTGCATTAGTTTGGCTTTCTTCACAGAGGGGACAAAGACATGAATCCTGACTATTCTGAACTCCTTAGCCTGTGTCTCTTATTTTAGCTAAGCATTGGGTTCTCCTTTAATGTGTCACATGTCTTATATTCTTTACTAAGAGAAGTCAGCATCTCTGCCCCTGCCTTTGGTGTTGTGAGGACTTCATTCATACAATACAGCTTTGTATCTATGACCTTTGCCTTAAGTATTGGGAAACTCATGCACAAGGTTATTATTAATGGGTATTTTACTGGATTTACCTTTATTATCTAAAGCTTATTTGCTTTTTCTATCATTTTGTTTTCATTATCCAATATCTACCTTAGTAGATTTTGCTTCTATTTATTGAGGAAACAAAACCTACGGGGGTTACTGTGAAAACTGAGTCAACTCTATGTGCTGGCTTACAGTATCAGGGAAAGGGCTGTTCTTTGTTCTGTGTTGTTATTTTATTAGATCAGGCTGGCCTGGACCTGATAGAGACCCACCTGCCTCTGCCTTTCCAGTGGTGGGATTAAAGGTGTGCGCCACCAATCCAGACAATGTTCTAATTTTAGGCCACCTCTATTCCTCACCCCCTTCTTCTTTTTGGGAGAAAAATGTAACAAAAGCTAAAGAATTTTTTAACTACATGTTAATTCTATGAAACCAGGGATAAATCTGGAGCAAAAATCCACAGTATATTGTGATGCATATAACATATATTTTGTAGTGGGTGTGTATGGGAGGGAGGGGGAGTAACTGTACGTGTATATTTGATCTTGTACATGCTCATTCATATGAGTGTGTGCATGTTGAGATCAGAGGACAATCTTTGAATGTTGTCCTTACCTTTCCACCTTCTTTGAGACATGGTTTTTCACTGTTATTGGAATCTTAGATGTTGTTCAAATCTTAGATGGTCTTTTAATAAAAAGAAAAAACCCAGAGCCAGATATCAAGGTGAAAGCCGAAAGATCAGAGAAGCAGAACAGTCAGGCACTAGTTCTTACCTCTACAAAATCCTCAGCTGCAAGGGAGTGTGTTCCTGTTTCCTTACACCTTATATATCTTTCTCTGCCCCGACATATTACTTCCTGAGATTAAAGGCATGTGTGTTTCCACAAGCAAAGGCATGAGAGCTCAAGTGCTGGGATTAAAGGTGTGTTCCACCACTGCCTGACCTCTATGTCTAATCTAGTGGCTGGCTTTGTCCTCTGATCCTCAGGCAAGTTTACTAGGGTACACAATATACCACCACAGTTACATAAGTTGGGCAAGCTCCTAGTAATTCCCATCTTGCCTCTGGTGCTTCCCATGAGGTGCAGAGATAACAAATACTTTCACTGCTGTTTCTAGCTTCTACCTGGCTTCCAGGGATCTGAACTCAGGTCATCAGGCTCTCACAGCAAGTGCTTCTATCCTCTGAGCAATTGCTCCAGTCTCAGTCATTTTTACCTGTAAGACCACTGAAATTTAAACTTTCCATTCAAGTTGTCAAAGAAATAAAGTGGAAGAAGGGTAAGGAACACTAGCTATTAAATGTTTAATAGCTAGCATTCAGATCAGTAATTATTAGGTGAACTATTAAATAACAGCTTGAAACTCTTTGGTGAGTAATATTAAAAAACAATTTTCTTCCATTTTACCTCCTATCTGTACATTAACTGTTGGCCATTTAGCATTGTTCTCACCTTCGATCTTTCCCCTTTGGGTATGGTGGAATGCTCAGGAACTGCATGCTGAGAATCCTCAGGCTTTGCATTGCATTCTACTATGAGATGCACCCAAGTCAAGACTTGCCTGGTGGACCTCATTCACTCTCCCACCCCCATCTCTGGGTTTTTACAGCTCCAGCTCTTGTAATCTCTGTCCCCTTGCAAAGGCCACCTCTCAGTGACTTGTCACACCATCTTCCTTTGATTCCCTCTGCTAACCGTAACCATGGATGACATGTCATGTTATTCAAGTGACTGAGACTGGGCTGGGTTCAAGGCTTTGGTGAGTCTCAATTCTTCACAGCCACAACACAGCACCTGAGACACCCTACACTTCTGAAACCATTTTTAGGGTCTTGTCCCTTAGATAATGTGGGTAGTGCTTTCACAAAATAACTGTACAGTGCAAGGAATGAAGGTAGCATGGATTTCCAACAAAAGATACTTGAAGATTAAAAAAAAGTTCTGCATGGTGGAAGAGTGGTGGAACCAGGATTTTTTTTTCCATCTGGAAACAGGCAGACAGGGGAACTCTGCAGATGGGAGCCTCAGTGCCCTTATTCTAAGAACTAGTTAACTTTCTGAGTTTAAATTTTGAGCAGTTTCTGTTTTCCTGGATACTTTTAACTTTCACTGCCTCCCTCTGAGAAGAAAAGAGCCAGGAGGGTACCATTTCAATGCCTGTCATGTAGTAAATAGCAAAGAGCAGAGGTTTAACATTAGCAAATGGTGTGAATGGGTAGCTTTAAAATAAAAAAAGTGTACGTTTCCCTCAAATACCACAGGTTTTCACTGGATCAGTCACTGGAAGAATGTTTTCTTGATATGTAAGGAATTATTTGCAGTGCATCTCGGTCTTCTCTTTGGCTACTCTGTGACCAAAACAGGAAAAATAGACCTTGCAGGTTAAGGGCCCTGTTTGCAGTTAAGACAGTTTGTCCTGTGCAAGTTAAGGTTTCTGCAGGTAGTTAAAGAAGAAGTCCCTGTTTGTCCTGTGTTAAGTCTTTGTGAGTTAAGGATTCTGTTTGCAATCAAGAATAAGTTCCTGTTTCTTAGATCTGAGGTAAACTTGTAACCCCATTTACACGATGTCTATCCTCACCCTTGTTCATTCTTTTTCATTGTGTCTTTCTAACAACATATAACAGCCGGCTCTCTCACCTCTCTGCAGACCTTATCCCTCCTACAAAAGGGACTTCAAGAGGCCAGCAGGAGCTGCTCTCTCAATTCCCAATGACGGTAAAACAGCTAGATGGCCAGTCCCCACTGCACCCCAAATTGGACAATCACAGATTTTGTCTTTTCTCCTCAAAATTCTCAGGTTTATCAGCTACAACTGAATACTTAATGCTCAGATTTTATGAAGAAAAGAGTTTTACCTAGATGATGGTTCTGGAGGCTGAAGATCCAAGCTCAGGTGGTCTTATCATTTCAGCCTTGGTTGCATCATAGCATGGCAGATAGCATCACAGTGTAAATACATGTGAGGAGAGATCTCATGGTGATACAGAAAGTTAAAGATATTCAACAGCTGGGCTCACTTTTTAGTAATAACTTACTCTTACAAGAATCATTGGGAATTCCATTAATCTCTTCCTAGGGATTACTACTCCTACTGATTTAACTATCTTCCACCAGGTCCAACTTCAAAGATTTCTCAACCTTCCAACATTGCTATACTGGAGACCAAGCTGCAGGTAAATCTTTGGGGATAGGGGATGTTAGCTGAAACCAAATCCAATCCATAGCACAATAAGAAGAATTTTTTTTAAAGATTTATTTATTTATTATGTAGACAGGAGAGGGTGCCAGATCTCATTACAGATGGTTGTGAGCCACCATGTGGGTACTGGGAATTGAACTCAGGACCTCTAGAAGAGCAGTCAGTGCTCTTAACCTCTGAGCCATCTCTCCAGCCCTAGAAGAATGTTTTTAAAAAGTGTCTGTCTTAGTTAGGTTTATTATTCCTACAACCTGACCAAAATCAACTTGGGAAGGAAAGGCGTTGTTTGGCTTACACTTCCAAGTTACAGTTCATCATCAAAGGAAGTCAGGACAGGAACTGAGTCAGGGAAGAAACCTGGAGGCAGGAGCCAATGCAGAGGCCATGGAGGAGTGCTGCTTACTGGTTTTCTCCTCACGACTTCTCAGGCTGGTTTCTTGTAGAACCAAGGACCACCAGCCCAGGGATGGCACCACCCACATGAACTGTGCTCTTCTCCTTCAATCACAACTTAAGAAAATTACCTAAAGGTCTGCCTACAGCTGGATCTTATGGATGCATTTTCTTCATTGATGTTTCCTCCTCTCAGATGACTACAGCTTGTGTCAAGTTGGCATGGTACTAGGCAGTACATTGCCACAGGTTATGTTTAACCAGTGAAAACATTCACAACAGACTATTTGAAGCTAATGAAAATCATGAACAGTTCCTACTCTTGACCTAATTTCAACAGTCGGCAAAGTATTATGTATATCATACTTATGCAGTAAACATTAACTGATTTAGATACAAAGAAAGAGAAAAGGAACTGCTTCTTTTCGTAAAGCCCTGTTTATTTGAATAATGCTCCTGTGAAACCATTTGGAAGGTGTTCATTATTTGGCTTTCTGGAACACAGTCGATGTACTGAACACTCTGAAAAATCTCTTCCACGTCTTCACTCCTGGATGTTAGCTTTTCCTTTGGGCCTTGGGGCAGCTTGGGTTTTGGTAAAATTGCTCCTGTAAACTTACTTAAATCAGCATGAACCACAGTAAGAAAATTTCCTGGAATGGAGCCATATGTGGTCCAGGAGGCTGGTGCACTGAGGTCTTCAACTGCCAGGTAGAGGGTGGATAATGTGTCCACGGGCCCTCCCCTCAAAGTGACCCAGTACACAAGGCAGGTGTTTTGATCGGTATTTAGAGTAGTTCTTCTTTGAGAAGACAGTAGGTTACAGCGTTATATGCTTCCCCACCTCAGCGCTTGTATTTGTGCTGGGTCCCTGATAGACAGTTTGCCCCAGACCCTGATTCTTCTCTGAGGTGACCATGCAGGTTCACTATGCACAGCTGTTTCAACTTGCTTATTACATGTTTTTTTTTTTTTAAGATTAATGACAAAATTGAAAAACCAGCATCACTTCGTATTATAAAAGTAAGTTGTTATGAAAAATGAATTGATAATACACAATGAACCACTCTGAATATTTGCTGAAAGCTACTGGTAACATGAAGTTTCTTAGGAATCTCTGTGACAACCAGGTTCACTTTTTTAAAGATACAAAGCAGTTTTTTCTTTTTTCTTCTTCTCTCATATGGTACATCCTGACCACAGTTTTCCTCCCTCTATTCTTCCCAGTTGACACCCCTCCTTTCTTCCACAGATCCATTCCTCCTCTGTTTCCCTTAAAAACAACAACAACAACAAAAAAGGGCCTCCCAGGGAAATCAAGATGGCATAATGAGTTACAATCAGACTAGGCACAAACCCTCAATCAAGGCTGGGCAAGGTAACCCAGTAGGAGAAGGGTCACAAGAGCAGGCAAAAGAGTCAGAAACAACCCCCCCCCACTTCCACTGTTAGGAGTACCAAAAGAACATCCAGCTATATAACCATAAGGTATATGCAGAGGACTTGGCTCAGACACATACAGGGTTCATTGTAGCATGAATCATTAGAAGGTCTTATTAATAAAAACAAACTCAGGAGCCAGGTATTAGGGTAAATGCTGAAAGATCAGAAAAACAAGACAAGCCACAGCTAACTGTACCTCGCCAATTCCTAAGCTGATCTTACTTCTTCAAACTGGAAGCCTCTGTGTCCTCATCTGAATGGACCTCATCTGAACTGCTGCTAAAAGCCTAAAAGCTTAGCAAACGTAGTTCCTGGTCCTCTTGCCTTATATACCTTTCTGCTTCCTGCCATCACTTCCTGGGATTACAGGCAGATCTCTTTTCCAAGCAAGGACAAGAAATCTCAAGTGCTGGGATTAAAGGTGTGTGTCACCTTGCCTGGCTGTTTCCAGTGTGGCTTTGAACTCACAGAGATCTGGATGGATCTCTGCCTCCAGAATGGTAGGATTAAAGGTGTGTGTGTCACCATTTTCTGGCCTCTATGTCTATCTAGTGGCTGTTCTGTTCTCTGACCCCAGATAAGTTTATTAGGGTGCACAATATATTGGGGGACACAATATCACCACAGTTCATGATTGTTGCTTCAGTCTTTGTGATCCCCTATGAGCCTGCTTAGTTGATTTTGTGGGTAGTGTTTTTATGGTGTCCTTGACCTCTCTAGCTCCTAAAATTCTTCTTTCCACTCTTTTGTGGGGTTCTCCTGGCTCCACGCAGTGTTTGGCTGTGGTTCTCTGCATCTTCTTCCATCAGTTGCTGGGAGTAGAAGTAATTTTTAAAAATTTTTTTTTTTGCTTTTTGATATAAATATAACCACACCATCTTTTCCTTCCCTTTCCTCCCTACAAGCATTCCCAGGTACTCCCCACTGTCTTTTAAATCTTAAAAACAAAAGCACATTTTTTCATTAATTGTTGGCACACACACACACACACACACACACACACACACACACACACACCACACACACTTAAACATGACCTGCTTAGTCTGTATGTTCCCTGTGTGTATGTTTTCAGGACTAATCATTTAGTACTGAATGACCAGTTGGTGTGTTCTTCCCTGAGGAAGACTATTTCTCCCATTCTTCTTTTAAGCAGGTGGTTTGGGAATCTGCCTGGTGATCACGAGATGGCATGTCACATGATGACATGACAATGTTGCCTTTTTCGCTGTGTGATCTCTCTTTTATGTCCCCACTTCCCCTTCTGCTTTCCACTATGTGTGGAACAACATTCAGATCTCATCAGGAGCTGAGGTCACTGATGGGACTGATCTCACTCTTGGGACTCCTTCTAGGACTTGGAAGTGAGCAAATCTCTTTAAAACAAAAACCTACCTAGCCTCAAGCATTTTTTTAAAACAAAGAAAAACAACAACAGCAACAATAAAAACTCAAACTTTTTTTTTTTTTGCTATTTCATAAAAATAAACAAATAATGAACTAAAAGCTTGGGGAATGTAACTCAGTGATTAATATTAGGTCCAATGTGGGCCCCCAAAATGGCAGCACTGCTGACAATGTCCTAAACAGAAGGACTCTGACCAGGTAAACAGTAGGATTGTTATTGGGTAAACAGAAGCCTAAACTCAGTATTCCTCAGGAATCCCATATTTATTTATTTATTTATTTATTTATTTATTTATTTATTTATTTATTTATTTATTTATTTATTTATCACCATCCCAAACAGTGGGTTTCTGTTTATTAGGAGAGCCACTACTTCTGTTTTCCACCCCAATGGTCAAGTCAACTACCTTGGGAAGGGCATCTAGCTCCTGATTACTTCAGATATATCAGCTTGAAGACCTGCTGACCATCAGGTAACATCCGCTTGCTTTCCTGCCAAGCAGCTGTCCTCTACTGTCTGAGGCAACCTGGTAGTTTGTTTCCTTAAATAAACTTGTCTTTCTACCCACAGAGTGGTCTAGTTTGGTAGTTCTTATGCACTTCGATTATGGGTAGAATGCTCAAAGCCCTGTGTGATCTCTGACATTGCATAACGACTCCGTGATCCTAGCAATAGCAGAAATTCAGAATTACCCTGGGTTCCTTCAAGAGCTTGAGACCAGTCTAACTAATGTGAGACCTTATCTGTAAAAGAAAAAGAGAACTAAGACAACTTCCCAGAGATAATTATTTCGAGAAGGTGTCTGAATGGTAAGTAGAAAAGGGTAAGAAGAAGGTCGTGGCTGATAGAAAATTTGAGGAAGTAAGAGGCCCTAACATTGAATTTACCTTATATTTTGGAAAGGACTTTGGTGAGAAAACCTTGCCAAAGAGTGAAGTCCTCTGTGAATGAGGAAGAGCAACATGAACTGCTGTCTGGATGGCATGAAGCTGGATGATGTGGGCTTGTGCTAATCCATGTGTTTCATATTGTATTTAACTCAATGCCCACCCCACCTGGCCCTGCCTCCATTCTTCTTTCCAGCAGTACTGAGGATTGAACCTAGAGTCTCATGAATATTAGACAAGTGGTTTCCTGCAGCCAGAAGTTTTCTCTGGTCCCGCTTGACCCCAAGGTCCTACAGCCGCTTATAAAATAATCATTCAGAGGCTTAATATCATTTACAAACTGTATAGACTATGGCAAGGCTTCTTGCTAGCTAACTCTTTCATGTTAAATTAACCCATTTCTATTAATCTATGTTTGCCACATGGCCGTGGCATTGCCGGTCTTCTGGCATCTTGTTTCTCCTTCGGCTGCTGGTGTCTCTTTCTCCTCTCTGTATATCTGTTTAGATTTCCTGCCTGCCTCTAAGCTGCATTGTCATAGGCCAATGCCCCTTTATTTATCAACCAATCACAGCAACATATCTTCACAGCATACAGAAAGACATCCCACAGCAGTCTACCACTGAGCTACAGCCCCTGCCATTTATATTTTACTTAAAAATAAATCAGAGAAATACTGGACTAACAGTTGCATCAGAGGATTAAAGGGCACCAGTCCTAATTTTGAAGTCTGTGGAGGTATGAAAGATTAAAAGGCTATAGCTAGAATTTCAGTGACTGAGAAAACAATTTCAGCCTTCCAACCCCAGAGCTATTGAACTCCGGGCACACAGGCTGTCCAGTGTTGCCCGGGAGACAAAAATGCCACAGCAAGCCAGTTCTAGAGAGACATAACCTCCATCCATGGCTGCCCTAGTAAAGGGCTCTCAGGGACCTTGCTGCCCCTTCCTGTCTATAGGATGGCTGAAAGAGCCTTCACTCAGCTGCCCCCTCCTTTTTCTCCATTCTAGCCAGGCAAGGCATAGGGGCTCTTTCTGCCTTTCTATCTCCTTCCCAATTTTCTCTCCATAGGTATTGTCCCTAAGAGTCTTTGCCCTTCAATCCCATCTGAGAGTAAAACAAAGACAAGAGGTGACTCCATGGGAAGTACTTCTGTGGTAGTGGTTTGAGGATGATTTTCCAAAGTTACTAAGAACTGTTCTGTTTGGCAATATGAATGTTCAGCAATACGAGTAGGTGTAGTACGCACTGACTTGAATTTGGAAAATTCCACTTTCCGTATTTGATAGAAAAGAAGGTGAGAAGACATGTCAAGAAGAGAACATTAACAAAGGTGATGGGATGAGTGAGCAGAATCCCAGCGGGTCTGAGCATATTTTAAAAGGATTGGAGACTTCTGAACCACCTTCAGCTTGTGGAGACTGGTTCTGTCTGGTCCACAGCAGCACTGGTGACAGCAAGTGAGCCTCAGAACAGACCATAGCATATACCTGCCCACCGCTTATGTGGAATGAATTTCAGCATCCAGGGACTTCCAAGGGCCTTCCTAAATGTACAAGCAGCTTGAGTAGGAATAACTAGCTACCAATGGTAAGTGTCTTAATCAGAGTCTGTTGCTGATACGTTTGGGCGCTAGGACATCAAGCTCGAGGTGTGGTCAGACTTGGAGTTTGGAGATGAGATGTCTTGTCAATGACCATCTGCTTTTTTGTGTCTTTCCATGTTGGTCGGAGCGTTCATTGCTTTAAGTCTTTTAGAAGAGCACCCATATGTAAGATGAATTGCTAAATGGTCTTATTAATTTAAAAAAAAAAAAACAACTTGGAGCCACGTAATGGGGTGAAAACTGAGAGATCAGAGGAATAGAACAAGCCAAGCCATAAGTTCTTACCAACAGGAAATCCTCAACCCAAGAGAGAGCTACTTCCTGTATACTCACGTCTATATACTTTCCTGTGCCCTGCCATCTTACTTCCTCACTCTGCCCAGCTACATCACTTCTTTCCACCAAGCTCTATCACTTGCTGTCTGTCTGTACAGACCTCCAGACCTCTATGATTAACTAGTGCTGGGATTAAAGGCATGTGCCACCATGCCTGGGCTCTGTTCCCAGTGTGGCCTTGAACTCACAGAGATCCAGATGGATGTCTGCCTCCTGAGTGCTAGGATTAAAGGCGTGTACTACCACTGCCTGACCTCTATGTTTAATATAGTGGCTGGCTTTTTCCTCTGATCCCCAGATAAGCTTTATTGAGGTGCACAAATAAAATATCACCACACTCATATCCTTTAAAGGGCTCTATTTTCTGGCCCTAATTACTTTCCAGAGACCCTTCCTCTCAACACCATCACGGTGAGGATTTGTGCAGGACACATTCATTCAGTAATGATGAGAAATAATGTGCAGTGTCACAGCAGGGCAAATCAACATCTAAAGCATTGGCATGGGTTTGCCAAGTAATTGCTTTCAAAATTACCCATCACTTATGTCAACAATCATTTAACTCTGCAAGAAGGCGAAGAGCGACATTCCAGATGCAAACAGCACTTTCCCCAGGAAAGAAAGTTGGGTAATTTCACAGCTACCTCTCCTGCTCGCTCACACAAGTATCCCCTCACCCTTCACCCACTTAACTTTGTTGTCAATATTATTGATTGAGTTCATCGATAAGCACTCGGTCTAACCTACTTTATAAAAAGCACTAAGATGAGATGTTCTATAAAGATGTATCTATTTACTTAAATATTTATCAATGAGTATCTTTTTAAAAAATGCTGTTCTGGCTACAGAGTTTTCATCTTGCTTTAGAAGACAAGGTCTTCCGAGGAAACCCTAGTTGTCTTTCTATTCAAAATCCTCCTGTGTCTGCCTCTGAGTGATTGTAGGCATGCACCACCATGCCTGCTATGACTGGAGGTTTCTAAAAGATGTGTGCCAAATACTGACTGCTTTGACATGCTTTGACTTTTTAAAACTGAAGCAGGAGACTAAAATTTCCTAAACTATTTTTTTTCCTTTTGGCTAGAGACAAAATAACTTGTATGCTGATGTTCCTTGAATAATTGTTAGATAAAATTTACACATTTTCTTTTGCAAAGGCTGGGGGCAGACACGTGGTGGTCTGCTGTTTTAAGATCAATGTCCCATCAAGTGGAACATTAGACACAACAGGCCTCTGCTGGCATGCCTGTAGAGTTCGGATGTGAATAGTGTGACCCAGGAGGTGAACTGCACGAAACATAGCAGGGAGAAACATCAACAGTCATCATTCAAGCCGAGTCATTTATAGTTCTCTCCTACAACACACCTGTTACTCCAGATGAGTTGGCTATTCTGCGAAGGCCCTGATTTGCATGGACTCTCAGTGACCTGTCGGTAAGCACACAGCAAGCACACACCTGCCTTGAAGGGTGGCCTTTCTGTTTATATGTCATTGCTTATTGTCGAGAAAAACAATAAAGCAGATATTTAAAAGGGCTTAGGAATAGCAAGTGCTCTGGGGAAGAAATCAGATAGCACAATATAGAACCAGAGGCAGACTGATTTAGATCCAGGAAACCCTCTGTGAGCTCTGAAAAGTTCTTTCGTGGGGTGTAAAACAGCACAGAAAGGTAAAGTTCTTTCTTTTGAGAACAAACTGAGCTTGTAAGGAAAATCTGGAAGCTAAGAGAGCCTGAGAGTCTCAATGGATAGTCAGTTTATCATTTTTGTTGACCCAAGGCTCTTCATTCATGGAGGAATGCTGAGTTCAGCAGACCAGGACTTCCTGAACATCCTAGAGGACACTGACCCTTTGCATCTTGGTGGTGCCCTCAGCTTTGGCTGTGAAGTATGAGGATGATCTTTCTTGAAGAACCCAGCCAAACAACAACAACAACAACAACAACAACAACAACAACAACAACAACAAAAGTTCTAAGAGGAGAGTGACAGCTTCTCAGGACACTTCATGTACTGAATTGAAGAAAAAATGTTTAAAAGAGATTTATTATTTCCTTGGTATAGATCCCAATCATAAAAAGGAATACAGGCAGGAACTGCACCACTGGAAGGTGGGAAACCCAGATGTGGAGTCCGGAAAGCTGGCTCTTGGCTCTGCTGAGCACCAGTAATATGTCGCTATGGGAAAATCACTACTATCTCTGAGTTGTTACCTCACATTGTAAAATGAAGGGTTAGATTTGATTTTTAAAGTCCCTTCCAGCCCTAACATGTTATAGTACACATTACCCTCCCCAAGGAAGCTTTTCTCATAAATGTTAACTTCGTTGTGGCGTGTTCTGCTCTGATAAGAGCAGGAAATCTAGACTAAAATCAATACACAGCACTTCCTGGTGTGAAAATTCCAAGAAGTAGATCAAAGTGATTTATGAAGAAGATTCATCATAACACTTCAAATAGCTAGCCTCAAATAAGCATACAAAGCCATGTGGCTAGCTAGAATAAAGCCGACTACACCTGTTATTGCTATGGAGAAAGTTTTCCACGAAGATATCTCTCCATTCATGTGATGGCTTAAATCTGAAAGCCCAGTCCAACCTCATGGTTTAAATACTTGTTCCCTATTAGAAGTGCTATGTTTTAGAGCCCAGTAGGGCCAAGATAGCAGCTTTGGGTAAGCACAGGTAGGCTCTTGAAGGGTCTCGCCTGGCACCTAGTTGTGGCCTCTAGCTATGCTT